TATGTTATTTGCTTATTATTTCTTGCCTATGTCTTATAAAATGAGAAACTACTTTGGCAATAACAACACACAATGTACTAACCATTGTTACTCTCCTAAAATCTTGTTTTGAGATTTTGTACCAGTTTTTATTTTTTTTTCTTTCTTTAAAATAAAAATAACTGATGTCAAAAAAAAAAGAAAGAAAAGAATGCAGATGCCATGGCAGAGGGGGCTCTAGATGATGGAACCCAGCCTGTACATGGGCGCATGGAGAGGATTCCCACAGAGTATGAATTATCTTGTCAGATGAATGGGAGTTTATGAAGCATGCCAACATGGAAAGGCATTTCAGACAAGTTTTAAGCCACAGAAGTATTAGAAAGCACACCATATTCAAGGATAAGCAATATACATTTTTTTTTGAACCAGGGATTGAACTCAGGCCCTTGCACTTGCCAGGGAAGTGCTTATTCCACTGAGCCATCTCCCCGGCCCCTTATACATTTCAAATGCTAAAGAATTCTAGAGATTCTAAAGAAAACACATAAGCCAGATGATTAAAAAACTGAAAACATTACATTTACAACTTGACTTGTGAATGTATACCACTGAGTGTGTGTGTGTGTGTGTGTGTGTGTGTGTGTGTGTGTGTGTGTACATACTTGGATTTTTCTGGGTTGAGAAATAAAAAAAAATAAAACAAAACACCGCTAACAAGCCATAATGCTACTCATGGTGAGGCAAGGGCATGACCTGGTCTGATGTGGTAGCCAGTGTAAAAGACAAACTGCAAAAAGCCATGCTCCAGTCAAGAAAAGCAGTGGAAGAGAAATTGGGGCAGAGGTAAACATGAAGGCCTGAGTAGCAGTAGATACAAAGGGCACAAAGGAGATAGAATTAGCAAGATTGAGTAGCCCCACCAAACTCCTCATACATACACAGCCAGTTCCAAGCCTCAAATAAAACTGCACCTCTCACCTTCCCCTCAAGTCCCAAACCCTCCTCCCAACTTTCAAGGGGCCCTTTGGGGGCCTTTTCCACTTTCTAAGCTGTCCATGAAGCTTAATCAAGCCTGATCAAGTTGACAGAGATAGCCTGGCCCCATTCTAGGTCCATAACTCTTCATCCTGGATGGAGAAAACTGTAGCTTGACCTCAAGTAGAACAATGAATTGGCCTTGACTCGGTCTCTCCCTCTTTGCCCATGGCTTCATAACATGGGCAGGCTTCAGTTTAGAAGGCAGCACAATTCTAAGAAAAAAGCAAACACATGCAGTTTATTTTTCTCTTGATTCATCTTATGCCAATACAGACTCCAGTGGATAATAAGCTGCATGAAAGGGGTGGGATCAAGCAAGCTAATTCTCTAGATGTCTGCTTTCTTTCCTTCAAGGCCCATGAGAAAGGAATCCAAATTTGCTGTGATCAGGTGTAGCTGTTCTGGAGGTGAAGCCAGAAGTAGGGCTTTCCTCGTGGACAGCAAACTATGTGTCCACTTCAGAAGGCAAGAGGCAGGGGTAGGGTGGGGGATGGGGGTGGGGTGTCCTCAGAGGGCCCTGAGGTGTGACTGCCACCCTCTATATGGTTACACTCTGTCCTGCTCTACTTTCTGGTCTTCTTTCCCCTAGAGCTCCTAGGCCCCTTCCACTGTTGACACATGAGCAGCTGGACAAGCAGATGCTAGAGGCCTGTGCTCACAGGTTAATCAGCTGGGCCGCATCTGCTAGGCAGCTTGAAGACTTAGTTTTCAGTCCAGAAAGCTGCATCTGGAAAATCAGTGCCCTTGGAAACTGTCCAATCGGACTGTGGCAGGGATGGGGAAAGGAGATGAGCTATGACCCTTTGTGATGTAGACCCAGGTCCTTCTGCACATACTTCTGACCTCCTTTCATTGGCCTCCTCTTTCTCCTCCTCATCCTCCCCTTCCTCTGCTTCCTCTTCACTGTTGGAGTCCTCATAAAGGTTGATGGTGGCCTGGACAGGGAAATTCTGCAGCAAAATCTCCCCAGCACTGTACAGGTAGTCAAAGGAGCAGGATTTAGGCCAGAAAAGCCTGGAGACAGAGCATAAATGTGGTCTATAACTTAGTTATGATATATGCAGAAGGGGCGGTACTGCCAAGAGGAAGCCAGTGCATACCCCTCTTCTCTTAGCTACACTAATCGGGTCAGAGGGCAAGGAAATATTTATAGTGACCCTTTGGAATTGTTACAATATAACTCTAAGAAGGAAGGTCATCTCTGGTGGGTCATAGCTATAGAGAGCCCTACCCCAGCATCTATCAAGGCTGACCCTGTCCCACCCCAGGAAGCTTCTAGTAAGAATTTTCCAACCCTGTGTTCTCCTGTATCTTTGTAGTAAGGATTTTTTTCATTCATGCTTACAGAGGTTCATGCTTAGGAGTCATGGACAAATGACTCCAGGGAGAACAACCTGGGCCAAGTAAGTGCCTTCATTTCTCTGGGCTTCAATTTCCTCATCAATGAAATGGCATAGAAGTGACTCCTTCCTTCATCCAAAAAACTAATGAGGCCTGGGGATATATCTCACTGTGAACGAAGGCCTTGTGTTCAATTCCCAGTACCAAAAATTGTTTTAAAAGAGCAAATAGGCCTGTGTCAAGTTCTCAGCCTGCTGTAAGAAGCTTACCTGACAGGGTGATGAAACTGAGAGTCAGCCTTTGAGGCCTTGGCTGAAACCTGTCCAAAACAAAAGCCAGCATGTGGCTCAAAGTTTATGGCAAGATAACTGCCTCCTCTAAACCAGAAGTCAGAAACCTGCAGAAAGAATGTTCTAGAAGGGACCTTAGACGTATCTGGGGTCCAGCCACCTCCCCACCCATGGCCCTAGGGCAAGGGGTTCTGTCTTGGTCCTGGCTGAAAAAAAAATGATCAGAGTCCTGGGGGTTGTTTGATCTCCTGTCCCTTGCTCCAACATCTGTTTGGAAGCTGTCCAGGTGACAGAGTTCTAAACTGGTACAGTAAAGGATCAAGGAGGTGGAGTGGGAGAATACTGGGGTAAGGTGGCAGGAAATAGGTCTGAGCACCGGCTCTGCCATCCTCTGTGTAGGGCCTGCCCAAGTCCCTCTCCACACTGAGCCTCTGTTCCTCATCTTCCTATTTGTCACAGGAACCTTGAGTCTGCCCTTATCCCAGAGCTGCCAAGGCAACCAAATGCTAGCAAAGCTGTCAGAATGCTTTCCCAGATATGCAGCAGCGGTCTGCAGTCAGGGGCTCTCTAGAAAGGGACCCCACCAATGAATGAATATGGCTATGTGTACCTGTAAAAATGTGTCCCAGGGACTGCAACTCATCCAATCCATCAGCTTCCTCACTTGTCTTGGCTGGTTATTTGTGGAGGACATCCAGGGCCTCCAAAGACTAGCTCCTCTAGGACAAAGATGAAAGATCAATCAGTAGAGGAAGACACTGAAATATGACTGCCTGAGATAACAAAAGAGGCCTCCCAGAGTTTGGTTCATGTACTATCTGCTCCAGGATGCCATTCTAAGTCCTCTGACCCCAGGCCAGGAGAGAAGTCCCTCTTGCCTGCTTCACCAATGTTATCATTGTTCTTATCCCCATTGTTTTATGATTATCCATTTGAGCTTCTTAAAATCAAAGATACTTTTGATCCTATCTGAGTCTTCAATACCTACTACAATGCCTAATACACAGCAGGTGCTTCAGTAAATGTTTGTTGAATGTGAGATGTTTGGAAGATCAATGAGGAATGAACAGAAAACAGCTTGCTTCCTGTATCCTTCTCCAAAAGGCAAATCCCAGAATGCTACAATCTTCCTGGACTAAGAAAAGGGGCCAAACATATTGGGGTTCACTACTTCCCTACTGAACTTCCAGAGGTAGGAGAAAAGCAACTGGTAATGGCATGGTCAGGAACATGACAATGCCACAGTAAAAATCCTCTTTAGACTTGGTCCCTTTTTGTCAGCTCCCCCTGCCATAGTATAGACCCTACATTTTGGGTCACGTTAAGCCCAGTTTTCATGGCAGTCTCCCCTGTGCCATTGGACTCCATGATCTGGCCCCTGAGGGCCTGGCTACTTGACTTTCAGCTTTGGCAATGCCCGCTGTCCCCTCCTGCCATGCAGAGGGATTAGGGAGGTAAAAGCCAGATGCTAGAGCAGGGAACCTTGGGGATCTCATTGTTCTCCTTCGTGTAGGAAGCCCCTAAGCCTTAATGCAAACTGTCAAAGTTTCACTTACCTTCTAATTCCTGGTAATTCTTGTACAGAAGACACAAGAGGAGGTGAGTTTAACAGGCCAGGAAGTACTTGAAGGCCTGGTGGTAGGGTTGGAGCTAGGGCTGGAACCAGGGGTGGGCCAGGGGCAGCAATAGTAGGAGTGACAGGGTCCATCCTTCAATTATGAAGGCCAGGCAAGCTGTAGCTCTCCTACCTCTCAGAACCTTCAAGATTCTCTCAGTCTTTTACCCAGAGACCCTTTTATAAGCCCTGTCTGAACTCATATATTATTCAGAGAGTGCAGAGGTGGGGGCCTTGGGGAGGGAGTTGAACATCTAGGGAAGGAACTCCGAGAGGAAAAGCTGGGTGCTTGGGTGTGAAATCTCTCCCACTTGAATAAACAGGGTGTCAGTGGGAGGTAAGGGGTTTGCTTTAGCTCCATATCAGAAAGGAAAACACAGAAAGGGGCAAATTGCACACCATTTGTGTGAATTCCCCTGGCAGGAGCAAGGCACAAGGGGGAAAAGAGGGGAGCTCATTAACACCTCAAATCACAAAGTGTGGTTGGGGACAGGAGGGCTGGATATAGGCCTTCAGCAAACTGGCTCCCATGGTGAAAATGACAGCTGACCCTTTTATGGGGAGTAGGAACTCACCTGCTATTTCAGTTAATATGCAACATAGATTTATGGGATGGCTCTTGATACAGGGTGAGTGCCATTGAGCATATCATCTAGGTTAGGCAAAAAGGGGGTTCTGGGTGCAGTGGGCCCAGTTGCCCATGACATGAACTTTAAATCTCCTTTCAGTACTCCTCCACACCATGACTGCTCAGTCAATTTGCAAAAGAGCCACAATCCCCAGTCTCAATGGCATGGAGAAGGAAAGCAGGCAGGAATTTGCAGGGCAGATCCTGCCGAATCCAAACCTCAGCAAGAAATTTCCAGTTCAGAAGTCCAGGAGCTAGGGGGAGACAGAGTTCTACCCAGCTCTAGGATGCACAAGGAGCAGCCCAGCTGCAGATCTCTCACAGGGGACACAAAAAAGGTGGTCCAAAACTCCCTAAGGCCCATACCAGCCTGAACCCTCTGTGACCAAAGATGGATATGGATGCTGATCCCAGACAAACTCTGAGGGTTGGGCACAGTCCTTGGCCTTAGCCAGCCTTCTGGGCCTTTGCCAAAAGGCTTCCAGTTACCACTATTGGCAGACAACTTATGCTTTAGACATCTCAAAAATACTTCTCCTGACTCAGTGTCCAGCATCAGTGCAGATTTAGCTGCCTAGATATTCATCACAGCCTGGTTTATGAGCATCAAAACTTAGAAATGACCTCAGTATTCAATGATAGGAAATCAATTTCACTGACTAAGGTAAATCCTTTCAACCAAATACTAAGCAAACACTCACACTAATGCTCTATGAAATAGAATTATCAATGCAAAAATGAAAAGAAGTCGATGCTAAAAGTGTGGCAATTTCATTCAAGGGCTCTGTTTACCTATTCTCCACCTCTACCTTACTTCAAACCTCAGTCCCATTGAGTTCTTTGTAGAAAAAAAAAATGAAAACAACCTAAATGTCTCACTTGAAAAAGCTAGTTAAATAAAGCCTTGAGCAGTTAAATTATTTCATGTTAAAATTATTCTTGTAGAAGAATAAGGGAAAAGATAATATATTCAAGAAGGAAAAAAGTAAGCTAAGATATAACTTAGGGGATGGTCCCATTTTTGGTAAGAAAATAGTGTATAACATACTGCATATAGGGAAACACTGGCTAAACTGGTAAAATTGTTGAATCTGAGAGGAAAAGGAGGATGAATCTTTTACTTCTTTCTTTTTTAAAATTAATCCTACAGGCCTCTCCCAGCCTGTAGGATTAATTTTATTGAGAAAGAAATAGCAATGAGACAGTTTCAAAACAGGTTAGTAGGACAGTTATGATAATTAATACATTGCATATTGTCTTCATAGTAGTTATTCATAGTACAAGATGCAGACATGACTTTTTTCTTTCTTTCAATTATGCAAAATTGTTCCACAACTGAACTGATGTTATTTGAGCAATAAAAAGTAAAGACAAAGAAAGAAATGCTTACTCAAGGTGGAGAGAAAGCTTTCGGGGAAGTGGTAACTGCCTTCAAATATCTGAGGATTAGAGTACAACAGAATATACTTGCTTTGTGTGACTTCAAAGGACAAGGCTGAGGCCCAAGGGTAGAAGGTTCAGGGAGACGCATCTTGGCTCAATCGAAGGCAAACTGTGTAACAGTTTGACCACCATCTAACCCAAGGAGGGTTGGTACCATACCAGCCCTAAGTAAACAGAGGTTTGTTATATGAGATGAATGGAGCCCAGTAGAGGACACAGCTGTGTGCTGTGGGGAGCTCCCTTCTACTGAAATTTCTACATACAGACTGGCTCCTGCCTCCTGAAGACATTCTGGCTGGAGCCTGAGCTTCTAGCTGTCTCTGAGCATCCTTGCTGGGTTGACAGGCAGGAATTAGGAATTTGCTTGTACTCTGGTCACTGTCTAAAATGAGGAATGAGTCTGGAAGAAGGAGTGAAGGTGAACACACTGGATGCAAAGCCAGTAAGGGAAGCAGAAAAAAGCCTAAGAGCTAGTGTCATACGCTGAACTCTTTTTGACCTCTAGGTGGCCTCTGACAATAGGCAGGAGAGCAGGAAAGGGGGAAGACCCAGATGTTTTCTTGAGCTTTGGGCTCATGCTCAAGTAGATATCACCATATCACCTCGGAGTTTAAACTTCTTTCAGCTACTCCCTTAATCCTCCAGAGTAGCGGAACTCAGGGGTCAGGGCTCACCTTACACCCAGTTCCCAGTGTCCTCTCCCAGTGCCCAGCGAGCTTTTGTCCATTTCCCTGGCTCTTTGCTCTCCTTTCCTAACTGCTCTGTGTTGCTGCCACCTAAAAAGTGCCTTAGCTTCATTCACTGTGTGGAAGGTTAAGGGATCGGTCCCTCTTGTTGGCCTCTCCCAGCCTGTAGGATTAAAGGCCTGTGGCTGTATGAAAATTAGTACCCTGACTGCTCTGTTTTACATTTTACACAGAACAGGAGTAAGATGTAGAGCAGGATAACAGAGAACATCTGGATCAACTGGAGAATTTCCTATGGCGCATTTAAAATTTTCCCTTGTATCCCTCCCTAACAATCCTACAATACTTGTAAGTTTTGTGTATAATTATTTTGCTAGACCTTTCTGAGAGGGCTAAGTTCCTCCTCTGGGCCAGACATTTCACTGGACATCGCTAGCAAGCAAGCGGTGGGCTAGAAAGTAGAAGGTGTTATGACACCTGCTTCTGTTTTTTTTCTACCTGGAGAGACAAAAACTGCTGGGAGAAGACAAACTCAATCAGCCTCTGCCAAGTCAGGGCCCATAAGTCAACCTGGAGCATATTCCCTCATCAAGGCCCTAGCTTCAGCTTATATATTTCCTCAGACCAAGTTTTAAACTTCCCTCAGCTCCCTACCATGTTCCTGTTCCCCCCCTCCCCCTGCTCAGAAAAACTTCTCCTCCATTTCCCTGAGAAAACAGAGACCTTCAAGCATGAATTACCTCAGTGCCCTGCTCCACCCCCCAAATATTGGCATGCCCTTCCAACTTTCTTCCCTTCAGGCCCCCCTTCTCAGGGGACAAGGTGCTCCTTTCGTTAAACGCTAATCCCTTTGCCTGAGCCTTGGCCTCATCCACCCTCCTTCTCAGGCCCTTCCTTCAGATGTTATGTTCCATCTCTTCAGGAAAGTTTAACTTCCCGCTACCAGCTTGTTTCCTTCTGAGTGCAAAAATGCCTGTCTCTGTTCAACCAAACTGGACACTGCTCCTCCATATATGGATTTTCTTGTTCTCCTAAATTGCTCTCCCTCTCCTCCCTTTCTCTCATCTACCTCTTTTTTTGACTCTCTCGCATCCTCCTTCCCTCTCTTTTTCTCCCCTTCACCTCAAGTTTCTTAAAAGAGTGTACACTTCCCCCCCCCACTTTCCATGCTTTCCATTCACACTTCAACCAAATGCAATTTGGCCCAGTCCCATCATCCCAGCAAAAGCGCACTGCCAAAGGTCACCAACGACATTCTAATTGCCAAATTAGATGACCTCTTTGAACTTTGGGTGGGAAAAGACACTGTTGGCCAAGAGCTCAATTCTGAAACCTTTCCTTCATCTTCAGCTTATATAATCACTCTCTCCTGATTTTCTTCCTATCTCTGGAAACTTCAGTATGTGTGCGTGTGCGTGCTTGTATGCTGGTGTGCTGCGAATTGAACCTCATAGTGCCTTTTGCTGACCTCTCTTTCCCTGCCCATTTTTCAAACGCCAGTCCACAGATCAGGCTGACACAGAGCAATGTTTTCAATGGATCACAGTAAAATGAGAAACACTTTGCTAGAAGAGTTTTTCAGCAATGTAGGTTCATTCATATAACCCTGTGTTCTGAGACTATGCCCTTCCTATTTTTTGGTGCTAAGATGATCTCCCTTTTTCAAAATTATGGTGATGCTGAATGATAGTTATTTCTTTAATATTTCCACTAAGAAAAATAAAATGTGAGTCACTAGATATCACTCTCAAAAATATTTATTATTTATTAAATGCATAAAATAGTTATATTTCTAACCAGCAAACTCATTTAGAAGTCACACAATTTTTTTTCTCAACAAACCTCTTCTACATCTACCTCACTAACCAGCACCATGTTGACCTAGTCACTCACACTAAAAGCCTCTATCTCTGAGCCCTACCTATTTGGGTCCTCACCACTCTCCATGTCTGTCTCCTCCATGCTGGCCATGCTCCATTTCTTCAGTAGTAACCTCTGTCCTTTCTCACCTGGATGCCCCAATCAGCATGTCATCCTTCAGTTAGCATTATCCATCCATTCTCTTCATGGTCTCCCAGTGATCCTTCTAAAGCACCGAACTGAGTACTGCAGGACCTTTCTGTGCTTAAAATCATTTAGTGATTCCCACAGGAAAAATCCAACCCCTCTGTGTGGTGGTCTTTTGCCAGCTGAGCCCACCCTGTCTCTTTAGGCTTCTGCCTCCCTAGATTTCTATCTCCCCAGTAAACCCTCCTCACACAGAGACATCACCCACTGCAGCTCTCCTTGACTCAGTCTCCATTCCATAAACAGACCACTCATCTTTAATCATTTCA